ATGCGCTAGTGTGGGATGCTTTTTTCTGATGTAGTAAATAGGAATGCTGTGAGAAGTTCATACATTCCATTTAACGGGTATTCTATGATATAGTTAGCAATCTTCACGATGTATCGGTTAAAAGTGGTATGAAAGTTATCAAGTTAAATAGTTTTTTAGCGCACACAAAAGTGACCTTATTTTCATCATAGGATCTTCATTTAAGTGATTATAGGACTGTTCTCCTACATGCTTTCTGTGAACATACTTAAAGTGTTCTCATTTCAGGGGATAAAAAAGTGAAAAATTTTGAAAACCGTTAGCGTTTCATTACATACTGTGACTCTAACCACCTACTGGTCCATTTTTTCAGAGGATAATGTCATTTAGGACATGAATGAATTCTTAAGAGATAATGTTATAGACAACTAACATTTAGATGTGAATAAACTCAAAGAAATTATTACATCTGAATCAATGGTGACAGCAAAACATATTAATTTTAGTATCATAACGAAGTGCAAGTTAAAACAATCACCAGCATGGCTTAAAGTGGATCTACTTTGTTGCATGAAATCGCTAGCAGAGGATTAGTACTAAGCGTTCCTCTCCGTATATGACTTCGAAAATTGCTCACTATTTAACATATATCAAAAGATTTTTCAATATGTAGAAGAAATTTTAACAAAAATTATTTAGCTTACTGGTACCTAAACTATGTATTAATTAGAATGAACAAATAGCCCAGTTTTAGGAAATGAAGATGACAGGATTTGGACACTAAGTATAACAATGTTCCTCAAATTATACGATATCTGAGGCTAATGATGAGTAACATATACTTCATTAATCTTCATTGAGTAGTTCATTAAATTTCAGATTGCCATCACATTTAGTAGGTCGGGAAACGATAAACGCTTGACATGCTAATACCTAATCATTATGCTGAATATATAGGAGGAAATCCATGAAATAACCAGTGTTTACAGAATCATATTTTTAATCCAAAGTCATCGATTTGAACATCTTATCTATCATTCATCTTCATACGAGTCAGTATGAAACTCTGGGTACATTAACTGCACGAATCGAAAGTTGTTTTTCAGTAATTTTATTGAGACGAACACTCGGATTTGAAAGGCAGTTAACCTTTGCTTAACATTAAAATTGGCTAAACCCATCAAATTCACGAAAATTCCAACTATCTTAAGTTAACACCACTTTTATACGAATTTTAAAGGTAACGATTTTTCGGATTAATAATTATAGACTGCAATGGATTTGAAATGATTATTGTTTTGTTATTTCAAAAGAAATCATTACTGAAATTTTGTCTTTGTTTTATTCTCTAAAACCAATACATCACTTAGAATGCTACTAAGGATGACGAAGCCGAAAAATGTTTTGAAATAGTACTAAAAGGTGCTAATTTATGCATTGAAAAAGGTTTATTTACATTGGACGAAATGGAACCATACCTAGAATCAGGTCAGTTATATTAGTTCATACAAAACTTTATTACTGAATTAACTCTTAGACGATGAAAGAGATTATAGTAGAACAATAATGGTTTACAATTTCCCTAGTAGTTCACATTCTAAATTGCTTGAAATATAACTGCAGATGGTATTTCAATTGCTAGTTTTATAACAGTAAAGTTTGAAAGCATTCCAAACAATGAACATTTCACTCCTCCATGATGACAACTATTTATAATTTCATAAATCGTGCTTCCTAAAAATTTAGCTAAAATCGTTTTACCACAGATTTAACTTATTCAAATTGCATTTTAAAATGAGGAAAAAAAGAATAGCACAAGGATTTTCTTAAGTGGATATAAGTAACTATTACTAGAGTCAGACAAAATAAATTTCTCTTAGCCATAATCAAATTAACTCACTATATTTGAATTCACTTTACAATTCTAAACTACAGTTCATTCTTTGCATGGAACTCAGAAATTCATTCATACAACTGATAAGTTCTTGATAAATCTTCCAAAATTAAATGACTACATTTCAGCATAACACCATTTACCGGTACTGTTTTTATTACTGATTATGTTAATTTCGGGAAAATGACTGATCAGAGACTTATTCAATAAACTTTACTGATTGACTAAGAACCTACTTAAGAGAATACTAGATAGACATGAATAGGTATTTCGTTTTAATCCTCGATAAATTTAAGCCTAAACAAATTCGTCAGTACTTGAAAGGTAGGAAAACAAATTGAAAGTCAACAGGGAAAAATGATTGTATATCGAAGTACAATATCTGAGCATTTGGAACATTTAAAAAGTGAGAACCAAAGAACCGGAAGAATAAGGAAAAGAACTTGAAATCAATTGAGATATTAATTAAGCTAATATACCTAAAATAAAATTTCTAAAATTTATGTAATGGTAAAATAAAGAACTAATAAATACATATTCTTTATGATAGTGTTGGTCTCCGCTAAAGAATAAAAGGTAACTCGACAATATTCTTAATTTAAGTTGCATAAAACTATCAAACAAATTCAAAATGTGGGAGTCAAATTAAAAAAAAATAGTTTATGCACACAGCAGAAAAGAAACTGTGCAAAATATGAAGGTAAGTAACCAGATCAGTCAAACGTGGACACGGATTATTTTTGTTAAATAAGAGAGTCATAGAAGCTAGATGTTCCTTCTCATCATATTTATTAATGAAATAACTCACCGATATTTCAGATGAACTAAAATGAATTTATTATATCACTCTAGATTATTAGTTAACTGAAGTCAAATAATCCAACCTTTGGGTGGTGCTGTATTTTTTTTTGAACTAAATGATTCACTTGTAAAGTTCACATGGTCATTTTGTAGTATGACAATAGGAAATCTTGATTTTTTTTAAACAAATCTGTACCAATCTATATAGTTTAAATCGTGAAACGACAGAAAATACTTTTTTATTGATATTTGCGTAATTCTAATAAAGTAAATTAAAGAAACAAACTGTTTTACAAATAAACATAATCTTTTCTTTTTGGTTATCTTTCTCAGCAAAATATTCACAAGCATATTATTTCCTTTTATTTCCAAACAAATAATTAATCGTTTTGATTAGAGAAGTATTTCAAAAACACTTCACTTGGTTGTTACTTCGATGACAAAGTTATCTGTATTAAATGTTCATTAAACAACCCATTTGGAAACAAGTTCATCAGGATTGCATGCAGACCATATAGACTCAATCTATATGCAGCTGACAGTTAAATAACTAACCATTTAAAGTCTCAGTTGTTCACTGTTTTGTTAACTTCAGTTAGAAACTGTGCTTACAAAATTCACATCATCATTCTATTATAGAATTAAAAGTCTCTTAGTCATTTGATTAGATTTATCATTCCAGTCAAACTTGAGACGAAAAATACCCACAGAACATCATGAGATTGTAGACCTGAATAAGTAACTGTGTAGCTGAGGGCTGTTGGGGACGTTAGATCCCCACAACTCACTTGATAAAAGTCCTAATTATGTATCCTATGATTTCGAGCATAGGCTGATCACTTAGCCTTGTGATTACATTTCCCACCAGGAAGATCCTTGACTGTCATTGGTTGATGTATTGTTTTAGTACGATATTTTTATGTCTCACACAAGGACGTTTCTAGCAGGTACAAATAAACTCTATTTGTGTGTTTGCGGACCTCATATTTTCTGGGTGCTTGTAGAATATACTTTATACTTCTTGTCGAGACTCCTTCCTCTACTTAGTAGGGCCTTGGGACGCTGGGATTAGAGTAGCCTATCGTGTCACTGGATCATTTGTCTTCTTCCTCGTTTAACGACTAAGGTGAACTCGCAATAGTTTCGAGCATATCAAATGACGAGCATAACAAGGACAAACTCTAAGCTCTGCAATTGTAACTTCAATCAATAAATCAAGAAATCAGGTCCACCTGTCAAGTTAAGTGGTTTAACAATATGTAATATTTCACTAAATGTTACATCGTTGAAAGCAATTGATATTTTTTTCAGTTGATGGTGGATAAAGTCCAATATGTGCTGAAATCGTTGAGAAAAGACAGTAGTTACTGTTCGATAGTCATTAAATATTCTACGGACACAATTTCATACAATTAAATAAATTAATCCTCTATTGTCAAGGGCAATTTTACATTGATCTTAAGGAGAACCAAGGAGACTGCTCACTTGTTAGCATTTCAACATGGACAGTTCGGCTCAGTCCCGTGGTGCAACCATACAGGTATCTGACACCCTGGTGGACCATTCACACCATTTATACACACTAGTACATATATAGTGATTATTTCCGATCCATGATCGCGTCAATCAATGTGCACCGCTTACATGACCGTCAAATGGTGGTATGTAATACAGCAACCCAATGAAAATGGCCCTCGGGAATGTTGCAAAACAACCACCATTATCAATGAAATCTGTCACCCTGCTAACCAATTTTTTATATGAACTGTTAGCAATACTTGCTAAAGCAATGCCAAGCCATCCACGATGTTCAAAGAGAACCTCTAGTCTCATAGGAAACTTTCAGCTCTATATAGCAGTATAGCATTTGGTATACACATAGTGTGGCACATGTTAGCAAGAGATGCAGCCCAGTTTGATGCAGATGGACTCAAACACTCTTATTACTGTTTGTCTCCTGTTGTGATACCGGAATTTTCATTTTTCTACCATATAAGACCTGAGTTGGAGGGTAGCATCCCTATTCTACAAACAGTTATACTTAATTTTATATTCTGAAATCGATATAATGTTGTAGTGATATACTAAGAAAATGATAACTTTATAGGTTTATTTTATTTTGCTACTCACTGAGTTATTGATTTGCATCACAGAAAAACGACTCCAATTGATCAATTCAAAGTTGGTTTAGTCATTATCACTTCATAAATTAGTGTTAATATCATTACCATCTATAAACTCGTATAGTTTTTTTTTAGAAAAAAATTAATATTCTATTTTATAAGCTGGTGTAAATTTTATTCATTCGTGATTATACGTTCCTTACTAATTTGATGCGGGTGAGAAAGGAGAAAATATAGTTTCGGATCAATATTATTTGTGACAGATAAAAATAGATGGTTTAATAATGAGAAATATATGTCTATTTATTCTGTAATCAATAGTGATGGCCCTATTTTTGAAAACAAAAACTAGTAACTTAAATTAATCTTTCTACTAAACATAATTACTTATAATTTTTTAACCTAGTATTATTTCATAACACAAATAATAATTAAAAAATAATTAGACATTCAAATGTTGATTTTAATAAATTTATTTTAGATAGAGACTTTTTTAGAACCAACTACATTCTATCAGTATTGCTATGTAGTATTCATTAGAATAGTGATATCAACTAAAAAGCGAAGAGAACCAGATAGATATTACTCATCTCTCCTGCTCTTGTTCAGGGTTTCTCGCATGTTTAATACTTGACTCTGTAGGAAATGCAATAGGAAACCTGTTGTAACCAGTAGTCTGTCCACGATTAGAACAGTTACTATAGAGAGTGAAGTGTGATGACATTGTAATGCTTACTCAAATTAGAAGGAAAAAATTATTTACAGTGATGAATGCTTTAGACCCATAGAGTGTTATAAATGCAACATAAAAAAATGGATGATTGTTCATCAAGTAAACGAAATACAAATCATAATTATATGATATTTAACTTAAAAATCTTTCCATATTTATTCTGAAATAAAAAGATTGCTGTGACATACATTTACTTATAAACCAGTCATTTAGGCTTACAACGTTGAAATAGTTAACTACTACTCACAAAACATGATAATTTTAGAGGATTGATGGAAATTATATATTGTATAATAGAAATAAAGCATTCAAATTCAGCCAGCAGTCTGTTATTTGTTACATCGACTGGAATCAATTGCAACAATCAATACACTCTACGTGTGTATTTGTGAATGTTTAGGACATCAGTAGATCATACAATAACTTCCTCGTAACATTCAGATAATATTACTTGAATGTATGAGAGTGTGAAACATAAACCAACAAAGTTTATGGATAAATAATAGTGTCAGTGTTTGAATGATGATGCTCTTCAAGATTACATAATGTTACATTTGAAGATTTAATGATAGATATGGTTTGTTCTAAGTACTGGATAACATCACACTTATAACTAACTAATTATAACTGGCAGTTTATAAAGAAATATACTTATAAATTGACTATGTCAATAAAAAGCCCGATTAAATAATTTCCCAAATATTAAATGAAACAATTTTATGCTGTATTTATGAATATTTAGTTCCAGTTCATACTAAAGAGTTAATTTTCATCAGCCTATATGTAAGAAAAATTACCTTATAATTCTCAAATGGTAGGATGAATTTTTATTTAAAATTAACTACTTTTTCCAACCATAATATCATCAAAAGAATCTATGGAAAATTTAATCTAGACTGTGGGAAATATTTTTCCAACAGCATGAAAAAATAGTGTG